TGACTAGGTCTCTTTTACCGTCTGGATCCTTGAACACAGGACCTTACAATGCTTAGTGGAATAACACTTCAATATCTAGTATCTAGGAGTATTTAGACCATATGCATCTTTGCTTATTTGTGCATGAAGACATGAAGATGGTCTGATTTTTTTTTACTTCAATCCAGAAAAATCTTCTTGGTTTGGAAGTCATCACAGTAATGCTGATCAGAAACTAGGCTTCTGAAAGAAACAGTGGTTAGAAATCCCTGTGAGATAGTTGCCAGAATCCTGATAATTAATTGCACCAGTGTCAAAAAGCTTCTTATCACAATATGTATAAACAACTTTGCATGTGTGATCTGGTATGAATGGATTAATTTCATCTTTCAGAAGGGAAGGAAATAGCTACCATATATGATTAAATAATCAAGTGGTCAGATGTCTTTGCCTTTACATAGTATTGATCCCTTCTGTCAGATTGTTAGCTGTTTATTTTGTTATTATTTTGCTTGCACACCTTTTATCTATTTTGCTTCCTTCATTTGTCTTCAGGAAGTATAAGGATTTTAAATCAGAAGGTATATTTCCAGATGTGCCAAACGCAGCACAAAAATAAGAAAGGCCAAGATTAAACTGTGACTTGCCAGTGAATTAGTGACAGCCTATTTTCTGTAGTACTCTAAAGATCTGTTGCTAGAACAGGTAGAAAAAGGGAATATGGTAGGTCACCATTCTAACACATCCACCTTCTTCCAAAATAATACAATTAAATTCTAAATTGCCTTTAAATATGCTTATTGTTGACAGTTCTTCATGATTCCTGATGATCCTGATGATTGTCTTCCATGACTGCCTTATCTGTGGGTCCAAAGATGGTAAACAAGGCCAATCTGGGATTGACAGGTTCTACTGCACCTTGGGCACGTGCAGGGTGGGTGGCTCTGGATTCTTGATTTGGTCCACAATACACTGTTTCTGCCATTCCCGCTTTTCCATCTCCTCTTGTCTTTGTGAGGTTTCAAAGTACTGAGATCCTTGAAACAGACTCTTCCTCCATTTGGGCTGTCCTGGATGATAGTCTCCTACAAGTTGATGTTGATGATGTGTTTTTTTAAGTTGGCCTTGAAATGAAATGTCCTTGAAGTGATTTCTCTTTCCTCCTCTTTAATATACACCTTCACTGAGCTAGGAGAAAAAAACTTGCTTTGGGAGTCTGGAGTCAGACATCTAGATGATGTGGCTGACCCAATAAAGTTGATTTTGGATCATCATTGCCTCCATGCTCATGGTGTTTGCTTGTGAGAGGATGCTAACTATCTGTCTTCTCACTGGATTTGAAGGATCTTCCATAGGCAGTGCTGATGGTACTTCTCCAGCAACTTGAGGTGTCTCTTGTATGTTGTCCATGGCTCAGTTCCGTACAATAAGATGGGAATCACACCTGTTTGATAAACCGTGATCTTCATTTCAGATCTGATGCCGTGATCTTTGAACACCCATTTCCTTAGGCATCAAAAGGCTTCACTTGCACATTTTAGGCAAGGTTAGGTGTTTTCATTAATGTCAGACTTCTTCAAGAGATGGTTTCTGAGGTACGGGAAACACTCAACATTCTCACATCATGAATCTAAATTACCAGAGCTGGGGACTGATCATTAAGAGTTTGTCGTTTGAATGTTAAGCATGAGTCCTATTTTCTTGTATGCCTTGGTCAAGGCATCAATAATTGTCTGAAAAATCTGTTTTCAAATAAGCAAATGCTACAGAATCATCAGCATACTGGAGCTCAATGATTGAGGTTGGGGTAATTTTGGTTTTGGCTTGGAGCCAGCTGACATTAAACAGTCTACCATCCATTTTGTAGTTTACCTTCACTTGACTGGAAGCTTGATGGTAGTCAAATGTAGCACCATGGTAAAGAATATCAAGAAGATTGTTGGAGTGACTATGCAGCCTAGCTTAACTCCAGTCTTAACCTCAAAGGGATCTGTGATAGACCTGTTACTGAGAACCATCACTCACATAGCATCATGGATCAGGCAAAGACTGGTGATGAATTTTGGTGGGCATCCTAACCTCAGAAGGATCCTTCACAGCACTTTTTGGTTGACAGAGTCAAAGTCTTTTGTGATGTCAAAGAAGGTCAGGTACAGATGGTGAGCAGTGAAGATCATGTGGGTTGTGCCCCTTAGTGCCCTAAATTCAGATTGAGATTTCAGGAGGAGCTCTTCAGTGGAAGGAGCTGGTTCAAGAGGGTTATCACAATGAATTTTCCTGTGGTGGAAAGCAAAGTAATCCCTCTGTAATTTTCATAGTTGGGCCTTTCTCCTTTCTTGAAGATTATCATGATTATGGTGTCCCTGAGGTCATCTAAGATTTCCTCATCATTTCATATCCTTAAGATGAGGGCATGGAACTGTTATGCAAGATCCTTTCTCCCTTCCTCCTTCTCCCTCTTCCCCCTGCCTCATGTAAAGATTTCAGCAGGAATTCTATCTGCTCCAGATGTCTTATCATTCTTAATCTGCTGCATGGCTTTCCTCCCCTCATCAAAGGTTGGAGGGATTCAGAGGTCATCTCTGACTGGGTGTCATGCAATGGAATTGGAAATGCTTTCATCAACAACAGAGTCTCAATTAGGAAGGTCTTAAAAATACTTCTTTCAATAGACATTGATGGATCCCCTTTCCTTGATCAGATCTTCTTCATCCTTATGTCTCAAGGGGATCGGTCCCTGAATGCTTGGAATGTATATGGTTTTGATGGCACTAAGAAACCATGTGTATCCTGGATATCAGCAAGATATTGACTCTTCTTCACCTTGTTTGGTGGCAGAGAGGTGCTGCTACCCAGCATTCCCACAGGTGGCAGATAGTGGAGTTACCTTCAGGGAAGGTCAGCTGTGAAATAAGACAGGGTAAATCTGATGAATAAACAGTCACAGACTATGCAGAAGCAGCACTACCAGGATGTAGTAGGGATAGCAGAAGGCAATGCTCTCTTCCCTGAAAAGCTACATATATCCACTGATGGTGCTGTGACATGGTGAGTACAGGTTGCCACTATAATAAGCCTGTCTGGCTCCCAGCCATGGGTCTACAAGTCCTCAACAGCAGAGCTGGTGGAATAATATGTTAGAATCTCAATGGCCATGAAGGTGGACAAAGGCTGCAGTGGAACAAAATCTTGGTGGAATTAAGATCCCATTCTGTCAAGAACCATGTAGAAGGTGATGTACAGCAGCTTCTCCACAATAAAAGAAACTGCACACAGGCATCTTCCATGAAAACAACTTCAGCAAAAGACCCTTATGGACAATCCTAATGAATGCCCACGGCTCTTTACTGCAATTGTGACTTGAGAACTCAGGTGACACAACACTGACATAGCTGTACTGAGCAAGACCTGGTGTGTAGGAGATGGAAAGCTCAAAGAACATGGAGGTGGCTGTACTCTTCTGGAAGGGTTAACAGGAAGGAGAACACCAACTTCATGGAGCTGGCTTGGTCAATAACTCATAACTCATTAACTCATAATTCAACTCAATTCTCTATTAGAATTAATGTTTACCTCATGACTCTCTGTCTCAAATTATCAGGGAGCCGATAAGTCACTGTCATCAGCACGTGTCCCAACTCTTGATGCTGCCCACGAAGCCCAGGAGGAATTCTATGCCAACCTTGATCAAGTCCTTTCTAGCATTCTGAAGGAAGACAGGCTTATTCTGCTTGGTGACTTCAACACCAGAGTCAGAAGGGATTTGCACCTCGGGAATGGAACCATCAACAAGGAAGGAGTGGGACAGGTTAACTCCAATGGGATCCTTCTCTTGATCATATGTGCGGCACATAGACTTGTCATCACCAACATCCTGTTTTGCCAAGAAAACAGGTACAAGACATCATGGCAACTCCTGTAATCTAAAAGTTGGCACTTGACTGACTACATCATCATTTGCACCTAGGATCACAAAGGTGTCTGCATCACTTGAGTTATGCTAGGGGCTTACAATTGCTGGACCAATCACCTATTCAAAGAAACTGAGTCAGTAACAAGCCAAGGCAAAAGTCCAAAGGAGAACCTGTGATATGAAGAAAAGATGGTGGGAAGATAAGGTGAAGGACATTCAACATCTCACTGATATCCAAGTTCTTTACTACCACCAAAGTCATCTATTGTCTGGGCATTCCTATCTTATCCAAATCTTTTTCCAACTGCTGCATTCATGCCAGTTCATGACTAGGAAATTCCAGACCTCATAATACTACTCCCGTCATCGCTAGCTGGTCACCAAAGGGCTTGAAAAATGTGCTAAAGCTGTTTTCATGCAAGATGCCTATGTGCAGTTTCTTTTATAGTGGAGAAGCTGCTGCACATCACCTTCTATATGTTTCTTGACAGAATGGAACCTTATCCGAATAAGCCAAGGGGTCACAGTGCAGCAGCTCTACATTTTCAGCAATATAGGTAGCAACTGAGGCCTCCTCACTACCTGCCTGATGGTGGGGTCGGGTGCCTCTGGACTCCAACACTGAAGCCATGCCTTTGGCCCACATTGGCAGCAGCTGTGGTGCATATTGGCTTGAGGTTGGAGTGCTGGCATGGAAAAGTGGATCCCCCTCTTCCACATCCCCCTGCCTTTGCCCTTCTGCCTCCCTGACTCTGTTCACCAGCACCTGCATCCAGTGATAGAGGATTTTGCTGATGCTCCCCTTCACCCTTGGGTCACACATGGCCTCCAGCACGTGCATCATACTGGACTGCAATGGATCCAGCCATTTTTTGATGCCCTTCTTAAGCTGCTTCACTAGTGCCTGCACCTCTGGTGAAAGTGGCTTTCCCCAGCCAGGAACATTGATCCCCTAGAACGTCTCCATTTCATTCTCAAGCTCCTTCACTATGGGGACCAGTGCTGAGGCTCGTGGTGGCCTCGAGGAATGGCTTGAGGACCACTAAGATCTTGGAGATGCTATCTCACTAAGTTCTATTAAGGGGGCCACTGATCCTAATCTCCCCAAGCAAGGCCACCTGATGGATGGCCTTCTATTGCTCCACCAGTCTTTCCAGCATCAGGTATGTGGAGTTCCACTGTGGGATGCTCAGCGTTTCCTGCTTGTCTCACAACATCTTGCCCACCTTGATGCTCTGGTGGAAGTAGCCCACCACCTTCTTGCATTTCAAAATGAGCTGGCTGGTAATGATGGCACCATCATTGTTCCCCTTCAAGGTGCCCCTGACTGTGAGGTGGAACTTGTGTGCCACACAGTGGATGCCAACAAAGTTGGCATCACAGACTGCCTTGACCATGTTGGCCCCATTGTCAGTGACCATGAACCTACAGGTGAGGTTGCTCTGCTCAGAGAGTCACCCCTCCACCATGCAATTTATGGCCATCATGATCTCTGTTGCCGTGTGGGACTCATCACCTCTGCTTGAAGGAGAGTTCACTGATACCCTCACTGATTGCACCAGTGCCCTGTAAGGGAGAGGTAGACATGATCTACACCCTGGCTGCTCCAGATTTCTGAGGTGAAGTGAACCCATGGACCTGCCTTCTGTAGTTTCTCCCTCAAGTACTCACTGCATGTCTCATACAGGGAGGGCACCACCGTCCTGCTAAAGGTGGTGTGTGCAGGCACTTCATATGATGGGACCATGACTGCCATGAGCCACCTGAACCCTGGATGCTCAACAAAGGAGAAGGGCTGGCTATCCAGAGCAAGCATCTTCCCAATGCTCTGGGTGATTTCACTCACCTTTGGAATGAGCCCCTACCTTTGTCTCTGCCTTCCCCCCACTATTCCAGGGTGGCCTGCCTCTGCTTCTTGGGGATGAGAGATTTGGAGCAAGAGGGGGACTTCTTTTTGGGCACGTTCCCACTGGTGCCAGGCTGAGGAGGAACAAGGGCAAGGGGGTGCTGCCTCCTGAGATGCATCGCTGTAGTGGCGAAGTGTTTCACCTCCTTGCCCTGACTGATCTGCCTTCAGCAGTGCTGACAAATAGCAAATCTGGGATCATCTGCCACCTCAAAATGATCCCACACTACACTACCCACTTGCTTCTGGATTGAGGGTGGGGATCCTGCCTTATCCCCCTCCTTACAAGGCAGAGGCACAACAACAAGAGGAGCTGAGTCACCTGTCCCCACAACCTCCTCCAAAGTGCCCTCCAGAGGAGGAGACCTGCTTCTAGGGGAGCTTTGAGGGGTGTGGAGCACAAAATCAGATTTCCCCTCCTTCTCTAGAATTTCCTTCACTGTGACCCTCTGCTCCTCTGCTTCCAGATCCAGTTCCTCCTATGGCCCTGGAAGGCTTATGCTGTGAAATGAAATTGGGATGGTGAATGTCATGCTGGTGCTGGTGGTTATTACTGGTATTAGTGGAGGTGGTGCAGGTGCAGACACTGCTCCTAATTCCTTGCTCCAACTAGCAACAGAAGACTCATCACTGCCAGAAAGAGGGTGCATCTATGTTTGGGGCAGGGGGAACTTGTAGCTCTTCCTTTAACCCCTCTCCCTCCCCTGCCGAAAGATCTGGCACCTGCCTTTCCAACATGCTTCATAATGTTTGCTCTGCTGCAAAATATGTCTGTGTGTGTGTGTGTGTGCACGCGCGTGTATGTGTAAAATATATGTTGTGCTTGCCTGCACAGTGATTACACCTGATCAGGCAAAAAACAGCTTTATTTTTGTGGGGTGAAAGAATCAAGACAGGCTAACAAGAACAAATAAGAGGATTTTGGGGGAAGAATAAGTTCAAAGCAATGGATAGGGATAATGACAAGGATTGTAGGCAGAGGTAAGTAGGCAAGGATTGGATACAACTTAAAAGAAGAGAGATTAGCTACCAAGAGACTAGATAGCATGCCAGATCCTTTCAGATGCTGCTGTTCTAAGAGAGAGATAGCTCACAGAAGGCACAGATCACTTCAGACACAGCTTTATATGTTGTTTCTATGTCCCTCCCCCAGAGCACTGTGATTGGAAGGGAACTCAGAGAAAGCTCACAGTCACTGGACAGGCAGATGTCAATATCAGAGTAGTTTTTTCCCCCTTCTCAGCCTTTTCCGTATATGGAAGATAACCCCATCCCTCACCTTTTTTCTCAGTTTCTGCTTGCTGCAATCCTTCCAAATCTCCGAATCTCTCTAAATTGATTTGGAGGTGTCAGATTTGATTCGGACCTTTTTAATGGTTCTCCTGATTTGATTCAGATTTGGATATTCAGCCGGTCGGCAAATCAGGCCAAATCTTCTCCAAATCGAATTGGTTATTGAAGCTTTGCACACACCTAGTGCACATCAGCTTCCATATGACACAATTGGAGATTTATTATTATTATTATTATTATGATGGTGGTGGCTGTGACTTTGTTTTGTTATTATTATTATTATATTTAAATACTAAATATGATAAGCCCCAATATCAAAATTAATTAATTAATGAGTTAATTCATGTATCCATGAGAAAACACTCTGTGTGTGAATGCATGGCACATGTGTGCCTGCTATCTGCAATATCTGAACACAAAATGGCAACTGCTACTGAAGAGAGAAAGGAGTACTTTTTTCTTTTTAAAAGTGTATTACAGGACATGGAAAACAAACCAGGAAAGAGACATATTGCATACACCACATTGTGTTCTCAAGCTGTCTTAATACTTTGAGCATGTAGCTATTTCTTAACATCTGCTCTTTAAAGAATATGTGTTTTGTGGCTACAAGGATGTTAGCAAAGTTCTAATTATTATTTAATTATTGAGTACAGAGATAAAATTTCAATAAGCTAAAGAAATCCCTTGAAAATAAATGTGCTTTTTTGTTTCAGAATTGAATCATTTCTTGTTTCATTGTTTCTTTAAAAGAGAATGATTAGACTAGTTTAGTCTCATGTATGCTTATGAGTACAACCACCAGTTACAGTGATTTAATAAAGCCTTATTCTTTCATATTATTGCACTAATGTATGTACCATGCACTTCGCATCCACAAAAAGGCTGATTCTGAAAAATTCTAAGCCAAAATCTGTAGGAAGCTATAGTATTTTCAAATATTCAATATTACTTTACAAAAAGTGCTACAAAAGTAAAAGAACAGGATACATGTTGTGATTATTTATCTTTGATATTCTTCTTCTTCTCTGAATGCAGTTGAATACCAAGTCTATGAGAGTTTTAGCATCTAATTCAGTAGGAACTGGGTTGGTACAGCAACCTGTAAGGACAAAATTCAGTCATTTGCAATGGGTCCTTAAATTATGAGCATGAATTAGGGATGTTCTCCTGTTTTTAAACAGAATTAAAGATCACAAGAGGACTTACAGTTTACTGAATAACTTCTTCAACCTTTCTCTACTGGGCATATTATTCAGTTGTAACAAGGTACATGGCTCAGTAGCGGGAGCCTAGCTGCAGGGTAATAGCTTGCCCACCTAGGAGAACTTTGCCAGATGACAGTGATGACTGGCTGGGTGTGGAGGAAGTTAAAAAGTCCCAGGGAGATGATGCTGAGGAGGAAGGTAGCTGAAAAGAAGGGCAACAGTGCAGGACTGCAGTGAAGCCCTTGCCCTGGATTGGGGGGAGGGCAGGCATGATTTTGTTGAAATTTTGTTATTTTGTTTATTTTGAGGTAGGAAAAGGGGAAAGCTGGCTTTTGGCCCAGGCTAAAGGAGGAACAACATATAGTGGAGAATGCAGGTATTCTAAGTTTAACTCCAGCAACAGAGACAGAAGCCCTTCTAAAACAGCTGGAGGGGATGCAGCAGCAACAATAGCAGCTATTTCAGCAGCTCCAACTCCAGCAGCAGCAATTCCAGAGGGAGAAGCAGCAGCTGCTGGAGCAGTTCCAGAGGAAGCAGCAGCAGCAAAAGCAGGAGTACCTGAAGCAGCACTTGGAGTCAAGATAGCTCCATCCCCTCAAGTTGGTGAGTCACTTGTTTCCCAAAGGATACAGGGTGGAGTACTCACCAAGATGGGACCTGCAGATGACCTGGAGGCCTTCCTCATGACTTTTGAGTTGGTGGCAGAGGCCTATCAGCAGCCACAGGATGTGTGGGCTACTAAAGTGCCCCCTCTATTAACTGGAGAGGCACAGGCTGCTTAACGGGCCCTGGGAGCAGTTTTTACCTTGGATTTTAAAGCCCTTAAAGCTTTCATACTTGATCAGTTGAGTCTCACAATAAAGGCCTATCACCAGAAGTTTCAGATAGAGACTCAGGATCCAAATGCATGGCCTATAGTCATGGCTTAGAAAGTAAAGGACTTGTGCATCCACTGGCTGAACCCTGACACACAGTGTGCTGTGAAAATAGTGGAACTGGTGATCATAGAACAGTTCTGTGCCATCCTACCAGTAGAAGCCTGCAGGTGGGTGTATTATCATCAGTTGACCAGCTTGGAGGAAGCCATCTGGAAAGCAGAGGGCTTCCTGAGGGCAGAATTAAACTGTCTGGATCCCTTGAAAGCCAGCAGGTCCCAGGGCTAAGGAAGTCTGGACTGTGGAGGGTACAGGAAGGGTCTCTGAAGAGGCCTCTTGTAGGGGTATTACCTCCTTCTCCTCTGAGACCACAGCCAGGAGAAGGGCCCTTGAGTGGCCCCTCCAGAGAAAATAGCCACCTGGGAAGATAGCATCCCTGAGAAGATAGCATTCCTTCCTGCAGCCCAGGAAGAGGAAGAGATGCTCTGATGATTTCTTCCAATGTGGGGAGAAGGACTATCGATATCAGGACTGCCCTCAGATGGGACTGTGGGTGGATGTGTGGCATGATGATAGAGTCCGGACCAGAGGTGATATGGGGTCCCAGTTAAGATAGGGGATGTCCTTGTTTAGGGATCATAGACTTGGGCTCTAGCCAGACCTTTATCCATGAGTAATTTGTGAATCCAGCAGACATCCTAGTGTTTGTGTCATGTGTTTGTGGAGATACGCTATCATACCCCATACCATAGCTGAGCTTAATCACTGGGGGAGAGGAAATTAGCAAGACACCTATGGTGGTCAGCCATTTAGCTCACCTAGTGGGGTTGGGGCAAGACTGGGGCTCTATGGCCAAATTGTTGTTGCTGGCTCAGAGAGTCAGTAGAAGCCAGGCTGA